AACCCGGGAGGCAGAACTTGCAGGGAGCTGAGATCATGCCACTGCACTCCAGCCTGGGCGACAGAGTGAGACTTTGTCTCAAAAAAAAAAAAAAAAAAAATGAGGATTCTGAACAAGTTGTTAACCCCGCAAGTGACAATACTGATACGGCTTCCACCAAATGGTAACATTTCTTCCTTATTATCTAAGTCCCTCAAGGTCGTCTTTTCTTCTTCCATTCATTGGGGATGTCTGGGAATTCAGGCTTAAAGGCCATTAATCTGCTCAGACAGAATCCAAATTGGTAAAACCTGATTTGGCAAATACAAAAACTAAAATTTTAGTTTTAAGCTAGACCAAACTGGAGATGGTTATTTGAATTAAAGTGCAATATATATATATATATATATAGAGAGAGAGAGAGAGAGAAAGAGAGAGAGAGAGAGAAGAGCAAAAATATATACATATATTTTTGCAATTTTCCCTTTCAGAGCTTATATCATTTTACTTAGACTCACTGTTCAACAAATCTGCCAACCTGAAGAAAAAATCCTGTTTTCATGAAGTCATTTACACCAGTATGACTACGTAATAGGACTTTCCTCTCACAATAAAAATATGGTTTGATTTACAAGACACATTACAGGAATACATCTAAAGCTCTTACAAAAAATAAGGTGTCTAGTGACAAGAAGTTTCTTCTGAGAGAGGTAACTGAAACATTTCCACCAGAGGGCACTATCCTCACTGAAGGTAATGAATATATTGTTCCTAATTTAAAACAATTTGCAATATAACCAGCCCCAAAAACTCATTTTTATTCTTGAAAGCCTTTATAAAGAACAGTAAATTGTTTTAAAATATAACATGCTATAGTTAAATAAAATATAAAATAATTTTTTGCCATAAAAGTAATGATAATAAGAATAAACATATATTTTAGTTTACTATGTGGCAATCATAATTCTAAGCACTTTACATATATAAACTCATAAGTTCCTCATATATTATAATCTCTATTGTACATATGAGGAAATCAAAGCACAGGTAAGTAACTTAAAGGGTCACCAAACTAGCAACTACAGAGCCGGGATTCAAATTCTGGCAATCAGACACCCAAGTCCATGTACCTAAACTATAAAAATATAGGGCCCCAATACAAGGAGATTTGTTTCTGAATGTATTTAACTATGCTACTGATTACATCACAGCTCTAGAAATACACAAAATTAGTTATAAAAGGTACTATTCTGCCATCTGATAGTAATGTTATTAACTTTATTTTGACATCTTTTTCACATGTACATAAACGCCTCCCATTAAAGAAGACCTATCACTTTAGCTCACTTATTTGTCAGCTGCATTCCATCAAAAAACATCCTATTTTTACAAAGTCACTCTAGATTTAAGAAGAAGGAAGAGTGAGAGGAGAAGAATCTGCTCATTTCTTTTTCTAGTTAAGAGATGGGAGTCTCACTATGTTTGTTGCCCAGGCTGGTCTCTAACTCCTATGCTCAAGCGATCCTTCCACCTCAGAGCCTCGCAAGAAGCTGGCACTACAGGGATGCACCTCCACACCCAGTTCTACTCTTTTTATTTTTATATGTTTAAAGATTTATAATAAAGACTGTGAACCACAGGCAGAGTTATGGCTTGAAATAAAATAGTCTGAGTAAATTGTTTATTATTAGGACTGTATAGAGACTCTAAAATAACTCCTGGTCTTTGGAACTGACTTGGCATTCACGGTTGTATTTCCATCCTTCAGACACATCTGTGATTCTCCATAAGCTAGATATGCACTTTGCAATGGGTAAATACACAAATATTGTTGGAAAAAACTCAGGATGTGTATCTTGAGAAATTCACTGCCTTTACTTATTAGAAATTTGGAAACTGCCAGGTACCTGATCCCAGCACTGTGGGAGGCCAAGGCGGGCAGATCACCAGCGGTCAGGAGTTCAAGACCAACCTGGCCAACATGGTGAAACCCCGTCTCTACAAAAAATACAAATACTAGGGCTGGGCGAGGTGGCTCATGCCTGTAATCCCAGCACTTCAGGAGGCCAAGGTGGGCAGATCACCTAAGATCCAGAGTTTGAGACCAGCCTGACCAACATGGAGAAACCCCGTCTCTACTAAAAATACATAATTAACCAGGCAATGTGGCTCATGCCTGTAATCCCAGCTACTCAGGAGGCTGAGGCAGGAGAATCACTTGAACCCAGGAGGTAGACGTTGCAGTGAGCCAAGATCACACTATTTCACTCCAGCTTGGGCAATAAGAACGAACTCCATCTCTAAATAAATAAATAAATAAATAAATACAAAAATTAGCTGGGCATCGTGGTGCATGACTGTAGTCCCAGCTATTCGGGAAGCTGAGGTATAAGAATTGCTTGAACCCAGGGGGCAGTCGTTGCACTGAGCTGAGATCATGCCACTGCACTCCAGCTTGGACAACAGAGTCTTTCTCACATAATAATAATAACAAAAATTATGCCGGGCATGGTGGCTCACGCCTGTAATCCCAGCACTTTGGGAGGCTGAGGCGGGCAGATCACCTGAGGTCAGAAGTTCGAGACCAGCCTGACCAATACGGTGAAATCTCATCTTAAAAATAAATAAATAAATAAATAAAAATAGAAATCTGAAAATTAAGGTATTTTGCTGAGCTATAGATATAGATAAATTTGTTTCCGAATGTTCAGATTACAACTTCTTTAGATGTACTTTACTAATGCAATTAGACTTGTGTGTGTGTGTGTGTGTGTGTGTGTGTGTGTGTGTGTGTGTATGCACATGCAGGCAAACTCACATGTGCCTTCAATATCAAGTTCCAAGCATTCAAGCTTCTTTTAATTAGTCCACTTCCTACGTGTTGCACAATTTTTAAAAATTAAGGAGAGTGCATAAAAGAACATGACAAAGGATATTCACTCCAGTATTTGTATGCTGGCAACACACTAGTAACAACCTAAATATCTACCAGATGGCAATTGGTTAAACTAATTATAGCATATTAATATATGTGACTAATAGGCAATTTTTAAAAAGAAAGCAGCAGCTCTGTATGTACAGACAGGCGGGTGAAAAAAGCAAGACACAGAACAGTGGTTATGATATGCTAACCTTAGTATGAAGAAATACACACACACACACACACACACACACACACACACACACACCCCACAGTGGAAACACTGGTTGGCTCCAGGAAACAAAGTTGAGGACTGAGGAAAGGGAGATTGGAGGAAGACTGATTTTGTAAATGCCTCTTTGAAGTGTTTGATTTTTTATTTTTATTTTTTTGTAAACTGGGTTCATAAAAGATTTTTTTTCCAATTATAATTGATACAAAGTTAAAGTTAAAACTTTAATAATCAGTTTTTAGAATTTTTGATTAAATTAAGTGGTTAAAGAAACTGTAAAACCAATCTAATGCCACCTAATTTGGGGTCTCTACTACAGTGGCATCTGCTTTCTACATGAGCTCCTGTATATTTGGGATAAAATGACTCATGGGAGGCTTTGGTTTACCACTGTTGGTACCACAGCTGGTTGCATTTTCCTTGATCTGCCCTTTAGACAAGGAACACAACAGAGGTTATTCCATGTCATTTGCTTTTTGAAAACTGTACATCTGCAAGCTTTAAAGCAGTAGGTTCAGACTTTCTGGAAGAACCGACACTTGAAGCTGACTAGAGTCTACTTGAGTTCATATTCACTTTGGCTAAGCCACAGTATGAGGGAAGGGTGTCCAGGAATAACGCTTCCATTTTTAACTTGTTCATTCCTGAAAATCCAACAGGAGATTCTTTTCACTCCCTAAAATTAACTGTGGTGTGTATAAAGCGTATCTGGATATCTGATCTTAAATGGAAATGATATCTGAAAATGCAAACATCTTTTGTAAAACTTTAAAATTGGTCCTTTTTTTTTTTTATTTTTAGCCCTGGGGAGAAGGAAGGGAATGACTACCAAAAAAGCTGGCTGGTTCTGTTGCTGCAGTACATTAATTCACTGGTGATTATCTCTACTGGGTAGAATTTTAGCAGAAAATATTCTCAAGTCTAAAAATCACACTTATTAAATACTGTAAGTGAAGTAAGAAGTGAGCCATATTATCCCCCAGCAGGTATGGGGAAAAGCCACCTGCAGGTTATGTAATGCTTAACTCCCTTCTAAAATCAGACCAGCCTTCTCTCCATCTCTGCTTTCCACAAGCTTCGTGACTTTGGGAAAGTTTCTTCATCTATAAGCAGGGGAATCGGTTACTTTTTGTAGGAGTTTTGGAAGGCTTTCATAAGGTAAGGCATGGAAGCACCTGGCCTGCTATCTGACACATATTATGTAGCAATTATGAAAAAAAAGACAAAAAGGGAAATAAGGATAGGGATTTGAGACTAGAATTGTACCTGTAGGCAGTTGCCAGGGGCCAAAATCACCCAAAGAGGGTATGTGCCCTACTTGCCTTAGTTTAGATGAAACATGATTGCTGTTTTTGTTAAACACACCTCAATTTTGAATTGAGATGAAGACAGGAAGCCTAACTGATTTTTCCACTCCAATTAAGGTCATTGGAGGGCAAGTCAGAACTGTAGTTTAAACCTGAGGCAGCAGTATCATGAACTGGTAGTAAAGAGATCAAGAAAAGAAGGCAAAGGCGGTGGAAGGGCAACATAGTATTGCAACCAGAAGGAGCAAACACTGTCTGGGTGCATGAAGAGACATGGAGACAGACAGAGCCACTTACAGGTCCCACCACCCCTTGATTGAACATTCGTTTCTTCAGCTCGGAGTCAACGCTTGGGGCTTTGCCAGGTGCAGTGACTCACGCCTGTAATCACAGCACTTTGGGAGATTGAGTGGGTAAGACTGTTTGAGCCCAGGAGTTCAACACCAGCCTGGGCAACAAAGGGAGACCCCAACTCAAAAAAAAAAAAAAAAAAAAAAAAAGGGAGAGAGAAAAGAAAAGAAACCTTTTTTTTTTTTTAATTTTAGAAAAACTTGGGGCTTACCGAGGTTTGGCTGAGATACTGCCATGGACCTCTGAGGCACTGGTGTGGAACCGACAGCAGGGTGGAGGTTCATATGATTCAAGGGCTGATTCATCGCCTTCCTAGGGTCTTGCCATGTGGTGATTTTTTCTATGTGACTAAAAGAAGGAAAACAATTAGTTACCTTTTTCATTGTCAGCATCATTATCATCATCATCAGCAACAACAGCATGACAGTTAATGACACTGGTTCTTCCCTTAGGATCTGCTTATAAGTGGTTGACAGGATGTGCTTGGTTTCATCCAAGGACATACTTGCCTATTTTTCCCTGCATCCTGGTTAGGCCACACTGGGGATTCTGCAAGTGCTCTCTAAACACAAGCCCAAGACTTCGCTGTCCAGATGGCCCTTGCATGCAGTCAGTGAGCCCAGCAAACCTTCCCTCAGCCCATAGAGCTTGCATTCCCCAGCACTTCACTGCTTCCCAGCCATCCAATCACTGGGGTGCCATAGTGTGAGCTCCTTAATGGAAGGGGAGCCATGATCTCCTGCCCAGCCAATCCCCCATACTCTCCTGACTCATATAATTGACATAATGTGGATCCCTTTGGCTGTCATCAAGCAAAAGATGGGCCTATGAAACCAGCTTCTGAATACCACATTAGTGAGCTCTCACAGTAGGAGTGTAAAGTACTTCGAGGCCCACAAAGGTGACACATAAAACCCTCAAGAAGCTCACTGTCACCAAGCAAGGGGACAACAGTGTAGCTGGAGAGCAGAGTTGCAGGAAATAATAGTAGGAAAGTTGACTAGTGCCAGCTTATGGGGAAACTTAGATACCGAGGCATGAAGGTTTCCAACAGAGAAGACATGATTGACATGATTACACTTTTGATTACATACAACTTCCAGTTTGTTGCTATGACTTAATCACAGAGAAACTAGCCCAACATGAAACATGAACTTCTGCTCAGAGTTTCCAATACATTCTAAGAAAGGTAGACGTGGCCTCCAGCTTTGCCTACCACCCTCCAAACCACATCGCAGGTCACTCCTGGTACTTTACAGACCCCGTCCCACTCCAACAAGGTCTTCCTTTAGTGAGAATTTATGATGCATATATGTATATTAAAGATGAGTAGATTCATCCTGCGCTTCTACTTTGTTTTAGAAACAGTATCAGAAATCTTTCTGCTGCTGCTTTTTTTCTTTTTTTTTTTTTTTTGAGTCTCACTCCATCGCCCAGGCTGGAGTACAGTAGCATAATCACAGCCCACTGCAGCTCTGACATCCTGAGCTCAAGCAATGCTCCCATCTCAGCTTCCTGAGTACCTGAGACCACAGGCACCTGCAACCACACCTGGTTCATTTAAAAAAAAAAAAAAATTGGGGGCCAAGTACAATGACTCACGCCTGTAATCCCAGCACTATGGGAGGCCAAGGCAGGTGGATCACGAGGTCAGGAGATTAAGACCATCTTGACTAAAACAGTGAAACCCCATCTCTACTAAAATACAAAAAATTAGCCGGGCATGGTGGCATGCACCTTTAGTCCCAGCTACTCAGGAGGCTGAGGCAGGGGAATTGCTTGAACCTGGGAAGCAGAGGTTGCAGTGAGAGGAGATTGTGCCACTGCACTCCAGCCTGATGACAGAGCAAGCCTCCGTCTCAAAAAAAAAATTTTTTTTTGTAGAGGTGGGCATCTCCTCATGTTTCACCATGTTGGCCAGTCTGGTATTGAACTCCTGGACTCAAGTGATCCTCCCACCTCAGTCTCCCAAAGTGCTGGGATTATAGGCACAAGTCACCAAGCCCAGCCCAGTATCAGAGATCTTTCCATAACCATCAAAGACAACAAACTTTGATAGAAGAAACTAAACGTTAGCCCTTTGTTTTGGGCCTCACAACTAGGCGGGTCTCTTCCAGGCAGGCCCACACTGCTGACCTTTCTTAGATACACAGCAAAAGGAGCATGATTGCTGTTTCTATTAAACACACCTCAATTTTGAATAACAATGGCCTCCTTTGAATCTTTAAGATAGGAAATCACTTTTACTTTCATTGAGTTTAATTCGCCTAGAAACTTCCTAGCGCTTAAGTTGTATCTGTCTGGTTTCCTTTTCAGTCTGTTTCCTCACCTTTAAATACTGCCACAGCTAACATTCTTATTCAGATTTCTTAATCTAAGACTTGAGGGTATTGCCACAGGGAACTCGTCCATTGCCTTGAGTGAAAACTTGGGTATAAAGGTCTAAGGTTTTAGAATGAATGTGATTTAAAAAAAAAAAAAAAAAAAGGCCGGGCACAGTGGCTAATACCTATAATCCCAGCATGTTGGGAGGCCGAGGTGGGCGGATCACCTCAGGTCAGGAGTTCGAGACCAGCCTGGCCAACATGGTGAAACCCCCGTCTCTACTAAAAATACAAAAATTAGTGGGCATGGTGGTACACACCTGTAATCCCAGCTACTCGGGAGGCTGAGGCAGGAAAATAGCTTGAACCCGAGAGGCAGAGGTTGCAGTGAGCTGAGATCATGTCACTGCTCTCCAGCCTGGGCAGCAGAGTAAGACTCCATCTCCAAATAAATAAATAAATAGGGAAAGACTGAAGTAAAAAGAGATGAAAATCATTTCCCTAAGTATAAAATAAATAATAATAAAAACAATAGTTTTAGTTATACTTTCAGTTTAACAAATGTAGTTCTGTTTAAAGTTTCACAAAATACATCAACTTCATGGCAGGTGGAAACTCACAACCAACCTCAGGCGTGTCGCAGGCCTTCCAAGTGAGAAACTAATTGATGAGGATATCAAAGTTAAGTAACTCCCTTTAGTAAAATAATTACAGCTAAGAAATGCTTTGATTATACCGTCAAAACTCATTCTATTAAAGCAGCATGTTTTCCAAGGCAGACATGTCCTACATAAATACTTTCCACTCTAATACCAGAAGGAAAAGAATCCTTCCCTCTTTCATACACCTCTAGTACCATGGATATTGATGCTGTGCTAGAACCACCATCAGGCCCCGGTCAAATGTGGCAATATACATCATTTGCTGCAAGATGTACAAGGATACTTGTGTGCTCAGAATTTCAGCACCCACTGTAGAAATAATATAAGAGCTGGAACGATGCATTCACAAATGCTGGTCCCCCAGTCTCCCCTCCCATTCTGAACAAGTGGGCTGTGGCTCCTGAATGCAGTGAGAGCAGGAACATCAAGCATAGAAGCCCAGCATCTGAAGTGGCAGATGAGCTCATCTTGCCTAAGGAGTGCCAGCACAGCTTGCCAGCCTAAGTCCCCTGGGACAGAGTGTGGGGCCTTCTGGGTGGACATTCCTGTCCTCATCCTGATAGTTCTGACCCCAAAGATGTATAGCTTACCCATGGCTTGAAGTCCCAGCACTCCCACAGTCCAGTGGGAGCCTCCACCGCCCACCCTTCAAACTCCACACCCAGCCAACACATTTAAAGGAGTTTTGTTCCCAGTGGATTTGTTAATTAAAAGTGTCACTCACTGTATTCCCCAAAGGCTGGAGTACAAGAGGGAGCCTTTCTTAAGTGAACAGTTCTCATTGCTCCAAAACAACTCTGAGAAGAAAGCCACTCAAATTCCCGGCTCTGCAAACCAGTCGACCTGACTGACATCAGCTCTAAGGCTGCACTAACATGATGTCAAGAGTGGCTTCCAGGCTGAATGCAACAAGTAAGAGTGAGCTATTGCTCACAAGAGGCACTTAATACAGCCCTGATGATTTCATTTGAAAACTAAATTCCCCTATTGTTCTAATCACTTAGTGCCTCAGGCTCTAGCTCCGTCTACTTCCCACCGCTTTCCAAACCCAGGATAAACCATTCACTCTTTCACTCTGCTGCCTCATCTCTGCTCCTCTCTCAATGTTACTGAGTCATTTCCTTTCTCGTATTTCTCAGTGTAATCTTAGTGTTTGCCAGGACCCACAATTTAGCTAGATTAATCCCCATTTCCCTGCTACTCCCACCTCCTTCCTGGCTTCACTCCCTTGCTTAGTCTACTGCAAGAAAAAGTCTCTGCTGTTTTAAAAGTATAACTTCCCTTGGAAATACACACACATACACAAGTATATTTAACCTGCCTACATACGTGTATTCTATAAATACACACACTGTACAGTTTTCATCTTTGAAAGTGGAAAAAAGGAAAAAAAAAGATAACAAACTATGTATGGTAATATATGCAAATATCAAGCTCACTGGTAATTTCTTTTTTCTTATCTAAACTGCTTTGTACTTTCCAGGTTTTTAGCAGTGATTATGTACTGTTTTCATAACCAGTAAAAACAAAAATACTAATGAAGGTACAAAAAGACAAAAAAGAAAATTGAGGCATGAATACACAGGTTGTTAAGGCATAAAAAGTTCCTGAAGATGCTGGGTGCGGTAGCTCACGCCTGTAATCCCAGCACTTTGGAAGCCTGAGGCAGGTGGATCACCTGAGGTTGGGAGTTTGAGACCAGTCTGACCAACATGGAGAAACCCCATCTCTATTAAAAATACAAAATTAGCGGGGTGTGGTGGTGCATGCCTGTAATCCCAGCTACTCAGGAGGCTGAGGCAGGAAAATCGCTTGAACCTGGGGGGCAGAGATTGCAGTGAGCTGAGATCACACCATTGCACTCCCACCTAGGCCACAAGAGTGAAACTTCTAACTTCCTTTAGAAGAACAAAAAAAAAAGAAAAAAGAAAAAAGAAGAATGAAACTTTATCTCAAAAAAAAAAGTTAAAAAAAAAAAAAAAAAACACAACGTTCTTGAAGATAAACTACACATTTGGCTCCTATCTTTGTGTGGCTCAAATCAGAAGACAAATGGAATAAATCACCTGATCCCATGCTGTTTATAAAGAAAAAGAAAAAGAATAGCAGTTCCTAAGAGGAAGAAAAACTTTTCTTGCTAGTAAAAGAATTTTATTTTCCTGGACTAAAAAAAATCCTTCCCAAGTATTTCCCACGGAGTGCCCTGGTAGCATGTGCGGTTAATGGTACCTGTAACAAATATAAGCTTTTCCCCTTCCTTCAAGGGCCCCTTGGACCACTACTTCCCAGACAGCCTCATTCTCTCAGTCCCAGAAAGACCAACCAATTCCTGCCCTCCAATCACATTACGAGTCTCTGCTTA